TGGATGTATAATTGGATGGTTGGATGTATAATTGGATGGTTGGATGTATAATTGGATGGATGAATGTATAATTGGATGGATGGTTATATAATTGGATCTTGGGTGTATAATTGGATGGTTGGATGGATGGATGGATGGATGTATAATTGGATGGATGGATGTATAATTGGATGGATGGATGTATAATTGGATGGATGGATGTATAATTGGATGGTTGGATGTGTAATTGGTTGGATGGATGTATAATTGGTTGGATGAATTTATAATTGGATGGTTGGATGTATAATTGGATGTTAGATGTATAATTGGTTGGATGAATGTATAATTGGATGGTTGGATGTATCATTGGATGGTTGGATGTATCATTGGATGGATGAATGTATAATTGGATGTATGAATGTATAATTGGATGGTTGGATGTATAATTGGATGGTTGGATGGATAATTGGATGGTTGGATGTATAATTGGATGGATGGATGTATAATTGGATGTTGGATGTATAATTGGATGGATGAATGTATAATTGGATGTTGGATGTATAATTGGTTGGATGTATAACTGGTTGGATGTATAAAACTCTGGTTAAACCAATCAAACACCTGTCGGTGTCTCGTCCTCCAGGTGATGCAGAATAACCACATAGCATCAGTGACCCTGTACGGAGCTCCAAGGACCAGCAGTCAGGCCCGGCTCGGGTCCAGTGCCAGTTCCCACTGAACCGACAACCAGAACCTTCTGCTGCTCCGGCCGACCAGAGTGGAGTTCTTACACAAACCAGAGCCAGATTTTTACCAGTCCAGCTCCGATAAATCAGACCTGGTAAATGTTAGCTTCTCCTGTCGGGCTCTACGATTTATTCTTCCAATCAGAACCGGTCGCCAAGCACATTTGGACCTTCCCGGGTCTGGGAACGGCTTTGTGCTTTTGGAGCGTCAAGCATGCTTTGGAGTAAAAGATATAAAATCTGCATCCTGTCAGAGTTCATCCAGAACCACAGAGTCCACAGGACGGTGCCGTCCGTCGGCCCGAACGAGGCCGAGCCGAGACCTTTGAGTTCCTCCGCTGCTCGTCTCCTGGACTTCAATCATCAACCATAAAACCACCGGAGTGACCAGACTCAAACTACAGCCTGAAGTCGTGTCAGACAGCTGCACTGCCACCACCCGTCCTCCTGCATCCAACCAGGAACCAGACCGCTCCAGTCCTTCTAAGACCCCCCCCAGAGCCAAACACCCAGTTCAGGAGGCGACCCGGTTAGAGAGGCGTGGTCAGAACCGGGCCGGGTCAGCTGAAGTCCCAGATCTGCTCCTGCTCTCACCAACAAACACGTTCATTTCATTTGATTTGATTTTCAGTCGCCACATTTCACATCTGCGCTCGTTTATCTCTGACTCGTTTCTTTGTTTGTTTACAGCAAGATAAACAAACAAACTCCTGGTCTGACGCCGTCAACGAGCTCAAGTCTCCGTTTGGTTTGTGATGAAATCTTCCTGTGAGTCGTTAATGGCCCGTCACCGTCAATAATTTATTATAACTCATTTTTACATTTGCACTAATGGACGCCTTCTTACTTGACCCGTGCCCCACCCTTATGGTGCGTTCACACCGAACGCGATTTCAGCGTCAAAATCGCAGCCAACGCTGAAGTTTGAAGCTTGTGC